CTTTTTCCAATTCTGTTCAGTGAAAAAAACAATTACTGTCAATAGCCAAACCTGGCTTCTGCAGTTTCTCCTTTTGGAGTAGATGCATTTATTCTGCAGTTGGCAAATAATAATTTTATGTTCTGTAACTGCTGTGTGAACTGGTAATTGTAATGTTTTCTACAATGAAGCTTGAGGACTTGGAATGGCCATTGCAAATTACGAGCAGAGATCAGAGTTGAGTGGATTGATCTATTGTCTTTTGAAAACTTTCTTCTTTAGGGTTACAAAAAAATACTGAAAGAGATTTTTGAGGAAGCAGGACTTCTAAAAGCAACAGAAGAAAAGGAAGCTGAGAAACAGAGTAAGAAAATAAGTCTGGAATTCAAAACAGTGGATAAGTGCAGTAAGGTATAGAGCACAATATTTACAATATTAAATTTATGGAATTAAATTGCCACCTTTTTACTGTATCACAGTATCAGCATGAGAGCATTATGTAAATGCTCTTTGGATTCAGCTGAAATCTGTCATGGGATTATTTTTTCTGTTTTCAATATGTAACACTGCATACAGTGTGAGTTGATATCTTTATTCTAGCCCTTAAGTCAAAACCAAACCAGTGCAGATGAATGCCCACTAAGAAGATGGTGGGTATGTAGGAATTAGTGTATGCACCTGGGTTACCAACACCTTGTAGGTACTCTTTCTGGGGAATATCAGTCTGGAAATAGGAAGGAATTAATAGAGCAAATAAATGTGTAAGCAACCTTGAGTATGCTGGTGCTTCTCTCTGTGGATAATTACTCACCCTTGTGTCAGGACACATTGGCTGTAACCCAAGCAAAAGGCAGAATGACCTATCCTGTGCCCATTTCTGAAGGACTTCATTTGTGTGAACAGTTCTTCTGCAACGGAATTGGAATAGGGAAAACAGAGGTAGAAGAGGTGCTCAGTCTAAAAGAGTGCAAGCTGAACATCAAAAAAAGAGCACAGAAGGGAATTAATTATAATGCAGAGAAGAAGTTGCTGTTATCATTTTAGTTGAAAAATGTAGCAAAGACAAAACACCAGATAGTTATTAATATATAATCAGACAGACTGTGGTTAACCTGAATATACATATATAAAGATCACCGTTTTGAACTCATACGAGCTCACTCATTAACAATACAGTGCTTAATAATTTGTACTTCTTTTTCTGGGTTCATCGTAGCTTAATTGACATTAAAGTGGCTGTTTTGGTAACCACAGATTTTTAAATAGTTACTCTTTTGCTCTGTCTTTATTCATGTAAACACCAAAAGACAACAAAAAACTGGGGCTTCTCTTGAGATTTCAGGTATGTGGTTTGAGTGTCAAAACTACTAAGCAATCCTTCTCTCTGCAAGTTAACAAAAACTGCTGAAAGCAAGAACATGAAGTTACTAGGTCAAGAGTTGAGGAGGTGACAAATTTCCAGACTGTAGCATTATGATACAATAAAATAAGGCCAGTCCTGAAGAAAACTTAAGAATGCAATTTTGTTCTATGATAAAATGCTACTTAGAGGACAGATTCTAAATAGTTGCAGAAAGCACTCCTAATTTTTACACTCAGGCTTGAGAAAAGCTGGGTCCTGTTTTAGCAACATAGACATGTATCTTCTAAAATTTGCACCTTGTTCTTGGAATAAGCAGCTTACCTTTATGATCTTTTAAGTGAAAAGCTGTAACAGCTTTGCACAGACCCATTATTTTTTATAAACTCCCATTTTAGATATGCATTTGGAAAGTGGGAGAACCACTTTAAATGTATTTTCTTTTTTAGGAATACAAGCAACTTTCTGAAGAAATAAAAAAACTTAAAGTTTTATTAGATCAGCATGGTATTGCATACAAAGCAAATTCTGGTGAGTTTTTTTGGTATTGTTCTTTTTTATTGTTGTCTGTTCAGAATGTGAATACCCCAATGCTGTTTTCAATTATAGCAACAATTAAATAATCTGGCATATATGAAGGAAAAATTCAGTAGACAAAGTATCTAATAAGTACTTAGGTTTTGATTCCTGTGCAAGAGGACTTATTTTGTCCCCCAGAAAATCTGTTGATGACTTGAAATTCTAGCTTTATAGAAAAATGCTGACAGCCATTGTAATTGAAGTTTGTCTCCAGTCCTTAATGTGCCAAATTAAAAGGAAATCAATGTTACAGCATTGATAGCATAAAAGTGTCTTTTAAGTAATTCCACTTTCTGTATGTTAACCACAAGGTCTGACTTCTTCTATAACATTTGAAATGTTCTCTGTATCTGTTTGAATTGTTTTTTTCCTTTACTAAGTCACCTGTTTCTTTTTCCCTCTCTTTGATTTCTGTTAGGTAAGTACCATATCACATGCAGTTTTTAAAAGGAAAGACTGTTTCTGGTAATGAAGAAGTAAGGCTAATCTGGATTAATTCCAGACAAGTTGGTTTTTTTGTCTTTGTTGTTGGGGTTTGTGGATTGTTTTTTGTGGGCTTTTTTGTTTGTTTGTTTTCTCTCCCTCATTCCTTCCAGGCCATCATGCCCTTTATTACATGAACTGTTTGTCAAAGGAGAATTTCATTTCCTGGAAAATAAATAGATATAGATATATTTACACTTTTTATGTTCAGAATTGGCACTTGAAGAAAACGAAGCACCGTTGAGCTAATTAAAGTAGCTTAAAATTAGTGACATACTTTTTTTTCTTTTTGCTTTGAGAAACTTTCTTACCTGTTTTTTTAAATTGATGACTTTCTTTTCTAGGAAAAAAATCATATTAAAATTTTTAAAAACATTTTATCTTCCCATATAAACTGTTAACTATGTAACTTGCTCTCATGGAATCAGGGGACCATTGTGACACTGCAGGGCCCCGTGGAACTCTTTTGCCCACAACAAGGGTCAGCACAAGAGGCGCCGACACCAACTTTAGAGAACAAGTGTGTAATTTTACTCCAGTGCAAAGCAGCAAAGAATGACAAAAGGATGAGCTCAGTAATGCACCTCATCGTTCCTACAAAGAGTGCCTGGAGTGAACACATACAAATACCATTCACTAATGAGCTGAGACTAACAGATCTCACTAATAAGCACACTTATTTTGTTCAGATACACGTGTGGTCTTTTCACACTACATCTTTTACCAACAAACATACACAGTTTTAGCTAAGGAGCAAAGACATGGATAAACAGACTATTAGGTTGGAAGGTTCATCTAGAGGTCAGCTTTGGCTCAGGGCCTGTTGTTCAGCCTCAGCACTTCAGGGACAGCCACACAGGGCTTTATATTACACACACACTTTCCATATTCATTAGTTATTCTTCCTTACTTAATACATAGACATTACTTTGTATTACACAGTCACACCTCCTATTGAAAGTCCTTAGTTGGTCCTTTGGGGTCTTCTTCAGGGCTCTCTGGTGGGTTTTTTTTGGCATCTGGTGCCCCCCAAAGTTGAGGTGTCCACTTCTTCACCTCGGTTCTGAGCAGACACAGTGTCATTACCTTTCACCACAAAGACTGGAACGTTTGGGTTTGATCTTCTCTGGGCCCACAGAGCTCAACTTCCATCCTGTTTGCTTAGTTACATCCCTGATTGAATTCTCTACGACCTCTCCAAGATTATGTTTTTCCTTCCTTGGCCATAGAGAAATGTTGGGAGCAGTCTTCTATATCCCACATCAAATCCCCCCTTTTCTTCACACTAAGCTCCTGAAGGGATAGAGTGTCTTAGAAGCTTTATTTCATTTTACGGGGGACCCCTGGTGGCCTAGTGGTTAGCATGCAGGACTCTCACCTCTGCGACCCAGGTTCGAATCCAGCCAGTCCCCCGGGCAGATGGAGTCCGTTAGGCCTGTGAGGCCATCCATCTATGAGAAGGTCACTCTAAACAAACCTACGTCCTGAGGACCTCACTGCCATTGTCCAAGCTTGCTTGGCCCCGGCAGATGAACCTTAGGATTAAAGGGTGGGCTCAGTTCAGCGCAGGCTGTGTCTCACCTAAAAAATCCATTGCGCAGGCTGGAAAGGTAAAAGACCTTTCCCCAAATCTTCGTTCGCGAAGACTGGCCATTAAAAAATGTAACTTGCACAGTATTTTTGTGTGTTTGGTAGTTCTATTAATTATTGCAGTAGTTTTTTTTAATTATTGCAAATTAGAACTGTATAGTCAAAAGCAGAATTCAGTTTACTCTAGATGACTTATTTCAAAACTATTTAGTTAATTCTATGACAAAAATGTTTTGGTGTTCAAAAATAACTGATGTCTTAAACTAAATTTTACAGCTGAAAATACCAGTGTTGAATATGTAAGTCACAAACTGGCAACTGCAGTGACAACAGTTCTTAATGGGTCAAAGGATGAACACCTGCATGGTGACACAGGAATTTGGAACTACACTGTATGAAGAAACTTGGGTGGTTCATATGGAGTGTCAATTAAATTGAACACGTATCATGCCACTGAAATGATTTACCCTCTTGCAAGTATTCTTGACTTCATGAATTTCTGCCCTAAAGCAAAGGAAATGTGAGGGCTCACCATTATAAGAACAGCTGGCTCGTTTCTGAGAACATTTGTGAAACTTTCTTTGCTAAGACGGGTGTTTGGCAGAGGTTTACAGATTCTGTGTGTCCAATCCCAGCCTTATTTTTATTGATCAAGTGTGGCAACAGGTGGTGTAAATAGAAAACAGCTCAAGACCAGTGCTGTTAGATGTTGTATGAATGGTAATAAATACAATGTTAAGAACATGTTATTTCATCTGTATGCTAAAATGTTTTCTGCGGACTTTAGCAGAAAAGGAAACGTTTTCTGTCACTGCAGTGCATAACACACCACCCACCCACATTCAAAGGTTGATGTCATCTTTAGCTATCAGGTTAAATGAAAGCCGTTCGGGATCTGACTGAAACGTGCAATGAAATCATTGAATTGTTATATAATTGTGGTAACCTGGCAATTCTCTGTATGTAATACGGAATAAAGTGGACTCCGCGATCACCAGCTGTGGAACCACCACTGCCGCAGACGATGGACGGCGAGAGCGCCGTCCCCGCTCGCTTTGGCTCCTCCTCCTGCGCAGTTCGTGATCCCGTCACGGCTGCGGGAGCCTTCGCGCCTCCCCTTCCGAGCGGCGCGGGGCGGTGCGGGATGATCTGGGCGCTTGGTCGCTGGCGGTGAGGAGCGGGGCCGGGGCTGCTGGCGGTGAGGGCCGGGGCCGCTGGCGGTGAGGAGCGGGGCCGGGGCTGCTGGCGGTGAGGAGCGGGGCCGCTGGCGGTGAGGGCCGGGGCCGGGGCTGAGCTGGGCCGG